ACACCTGTACCTTTCTCAAGGTAAAACAACAATTCCTCTTTTGGGATTTTAGCCAGTGGCCTTCTGATGTGGAAATCCAGTTCCTCACTGTCTACTGCACCGACTGCTTACATCCCTCAACACTGTGTGTGACCTGCAGTTACATGACGTGCCTGGTGCAACACATACATTCAGTAACTGACTGAACACGTGCCAGGACAGCTTAGTGTTAAGTGAGTGAACACGTGACAGTGCCTTAATGTTAAGGAACTGAACACATGCCAGGATGCCTTAGTGTTCAACAGCTGAACACATGACAGAAATCATTAGCATTAAGCTGCTGAACACAGTATGGGCAGATAGTAGGTCACTGGAGAGGAGCTCAGACTCACGTCGACTTTCTGGCTGGGGTCTGTTGGAATGGGCAGGAGGAGGTCACGCCAAATCACTCGCTGCTGGTCGTCGTACCGGGTCTTGTGGGCATTTCTTCTCAGAGGAATTAAGTAAAATCAGAATGCATGAGATAGATAAGGCTCCTGTTTTTAGAGGGTGCCCCCCTGAGGTGTCTACAGGGATTTTTGAGGTATAAATGAAGATTGAAAGTTGGACTGATTCCAAAATGCCATGCAGCTCATTTTGTGATTACAGCTCACCACCTCCCCAAGGGCTGGGGAATAGTTCACATATTTTGACATATATTTTCTGCACTATAACGCGCACTGCATTATAAGGCGCACCGTCAATCAGTGGTCTATTTTCAAACTTTTTCCACATACAAGGCGCACCGGACTTTAAGGCGCTTTAAGCAAAACAAAACAGTCAGATAAGCCAGTCAACGAAAATTTATTTTACATCACGTGTTCACAATGACTGTCAACATTGTTCAAATGTTTATGAGCGTCTTCACTACTCTTTAACACGTAAAAAAACAAGAGTCTTATACCGCTAAATCAAAAGTCAGCGTATTCATAATAAATGAAATTGTTCATTTATAACACGTGAAGCACTACACAATACACTCACTTTTCAATACTAAAACATTCAAATCGCTTCGAGTTCAGTATGCACAACAGAAATTAATCCACGTTTAAAGCGCACTGGATTATAAGGCGCACTGTTATTTTTTAAGAAAATCAAAGGCTTTTTAGTGCGCCTTATAGCGCAGAAAATACGGTAGTTGCCTGTGTACCTCTCCCACAACAAAACTCACTTTCCAAACTGTATAAAGATGTCAGCCAGGGACCCCCCGACGGGCTGGACATGGCTGCCGCTGACACAGACCAGGCACCTGGGCTGGGAGACAGTCACAGCAAGCACAGGTCTCACAAGCAAGCCCTGCTGGTGTCACGCGTGTGACAGCGTATCTGCGGCAGAGTGTCCCTGACCTGGATGACTGTGGAGTAGGCAGCCAGCCCCAGGGACACGGAGGTGCCAAAGGAAAGCCCAAACAGCGCCACCTTGTTCCCACACACCCGGGGGTGGTTCTGCAGAAAGGTGAACGCAGCCTATGGTGCCGCAATGCAAGAAGGACAGCGTTAGTTCAGTTCAGTTCCTCTCATCTCTTTGGTCCTGCTGCACATTTAACCAGGTTTTAATGGACCTTCTAGCAAGGTGAAGGCAGTAACCTCAGCCCTGGGCAAAAAGGCTGCTACTCATGGGTTTACAATCACAGGAAGCATGAATCTCCTGCAGACGGTCAGATGTGACCCACCGCTTTTTGCACTGAGAGCTCTACTGGACAATCGTATCAGTAAACTTACTACACCCCAACAGAATAGTTCTGCTTGATTGGTACTCGGCAACCCCATGGAGTAGGAGGTGCATAGTCATTATTAACAGCCTCCTTATTTTGGTGCTTGGCGTTTCCTCTGTGATGTTACTAGACAAAGACTGGTTTTTAAAGTAAAAGTGTACCTCAAAGTATTCATTGCCCACGCTTGGCATTTCCTTCTGTGATAGGTACTGCAGTGCCAGCGCGGCATATCCATGAGCCGCCAAAAGGGCCGAGCGGTATTCCACCAAACCACCTCCCCCTCCCCACAGGTCCAGGATGGCAGGGAAGGGTCCGAAACCTGAGAGAGACCAATCAGAGTGACCCCTCTTGGCATGAACCACTGATGTTTGGCTTGCATGTTGAAACCCTACAAAAGTATCTCCTGAATTACATTTACCAGCTGGTAAAAACAGGGTCCCAGTGATTCCATGCTCATTGACCTCGATCCTTTGGACGCCAGGAGCCAGGTACCAGCGTTCGGCATCGACCAGGGCCAGGGCTTTCCTCTCTTTGAAACCCTGGACAACATGACCTTCGTACACGGAAATGTGGATCGTACTTGGGGAGCAGACGTCCTTCTTCCTGAGCCTGGAAGCACGAGGGTTCGTCTCAAGGCATAAATGACTCAGCAGACATTATGTTCTTCCTGCTCCTTGTCACATGCGCAGGTGCTCACCTGAGACCAGGTCTGCTCCCTGCTGCTGGGCTCAGACCCCACAATAACCCCATAGGCTCCACACCCGTGTACGATCCTCCCACGCTGGCATCCTCGGCAACTGAGGGGGACCAGAGTAAACAGTTCTACTTACAATAACATTTGAGCAAAACACAAAAAAAAAAAAATCACGTTTATTCATGCACATAAAGAGAAGCAGATCTGAATGACAGCAATTCATATGGACATAGTTAATCTTTAAAGAAAGTATTAAATATAAAACCTCGGACTGCTCCAGTGGCATCGCTGACATAGTGGCCAAAAGCCTCCCAGAAGTCCCCATCCTCGGAGTGGAGCAGGCTGTGCAGGGTCACCTCCTGTCCTGGAGGTAATTTCTGCACAGTGATGCAGAGCTTCTCATCCCAGAGACCCCTGCAGGGCTGCACAGACAGCAAGGGGGATGGCTGCCGTCTGGACATGGTCCCTGTCACCTGCGTCAAGGGGGCATGCATGAGGAAAGCTCTGGAATATAAATGATTTAGCCATTATAGAGTCTCTGTGGGGATATTTACCGCGGTAAGCTGAGTGTCCACAGAGCAGGAGTGAGGAAGGATCAGCCCATGTCTGAAGTCCACAAAGATATGTGTGGGCTCAGGGGGTTAAATATTAACCTTAACCTACGCATGTGTAACTTCTGCAGTGCTGTAATACAATGTGGAGATTTGGGTGTGTACATAAAGTTTTTCTTTTTATTGTTTTATTTTACATTTTTTAAACTTTTCCCACAAATGTTTCCTTTTTAGTTTATTTTTATTTATTTCGGCCATTATTTATTTTAGTCTGTTTTTACTGAGCTTCATAATTTAGTTTAATGTTAATTTGTAATTTGCAGCCAACTGGGGACCCCCAAACATGCAAATACACCCAAAAAATGGTTCCATGTTGCATAAGTGGAAACTGGTCATTGACTTCCAAGAAAAAACAATAGTATATTCAGACTCGGTTAGGATTTGTAGCTTAGGACTTGACCTGAGACTCGTTCCCACAGCGGTCAGGCTGCGCTTTCTCCTTCTCGTCCCGCACACCTTCGGTCTGATCTTCTCTGAAGCGTGGTTTAAATTCGTCTTTTTGTTAATTTTTATCATCGTATTGGCTACTTTGAATGTTAATTATTTAGAGGAGGGAGGACTGGTAAGGGTAGGGTGAACGCCGGCTTTCAAACTCAAAAATAGGAGTTGGAGAAACCGCGATTTTTCGTTTCTACTCATTTCATCTTATTTGTTAGTTTTTGTGTTTTTCAGTTTAGATTTCGTGTCTCGCGCTTTTATTTTCGTTTTAATTTTGATTAATTAGATCCCTTTCTTATCGTTTTAGTCTCAGTATTCGGTACTGCTAAGAACCTTAGAGTGCATGTATACACACACTCACTATCCATATACATCTATCTATATCTATATATATATATATATATATCTGTGTGTATAGCCCGTGCTAATTTTTATACCCACCTGTTACCGACGTTTGCTGCTTCACGGTTATTACAGAAATCGCACTTCGTATAAAAAGCGATTAAGAAGCTGATCTCAGACAAAACGTCGCCCCGGCTTAAACCACCGAATTTACTGGACTTAACGACAGAAAATCACTGCATATGTATTTACTTATATTAAGCCGCAAGCCACCGGCCTGTTCTGTTATAAGAAAGTTACTTTTTTTTGTTTTTGTGCCGTATTTTTCGTTCTTCCGACGCCAAAACGAAGCAAAATGAACTTTTTATAATCCCTTGCTGAAACAGCAGGTAGCTGACGAGCTACATATCAAATATTGAGACAAAAACCTATCGTTTTTTCCCTCATACACCATTTAATAATCTTATCAACGTTCAGAACAATTGCGAGTTTTGCAATGATATGCTACATAAAATGTACTGCTTTCAGTAGTGATGTTAAGCTTGACACCAAAGCTCCGAGGCGTGTGTCAAAAAAAACGATACAGTGCGTTCTGAAGCAGAACTTTGATGCTTCTTCCGTTCTACCCTAAACACGTGACCATGGTGATCCGAAGCTTCGTTCTGCGCTCAACCACGTGACTACTTCAGAAACGTGAAAATGAGGCGCAAACCTCAGTGACCCCAATATACCACATACTAAAGACCCTTTGAGGTTCTGGGATATGCACCAGGCTGTGTATCCACACTTATACGAACTTGCAGTACAGTTTTTATGCACTCCAGCGTCCTCCGTTCCATGTGAGCGGGTATTCTCCAAAGCAGGAGAAATGGTGAATAAAAAACGTAACCAACTTAGCCCCCACACTGTTGAACAAATACTGTTCCTGAATAAAAATCTGTAGACTAATGGCCCTCTTCCGTTACACAAGCACCCCTTCCCAGTTAAGTCAATGGTTTCCCAGTCCACAAGAAGTCACATTCAATTTCACCAGGTCATTAATGTTCATGACGCACTACAGACCATTAGAAATTTTGCCAATTTATAAATATTCAGATTCACTGCACTCACTCAAAATTAAGTGTTATTTCCTTATTTGACCACTTGGTGTTACTAAAGGTCAGCAATTCGGAAGGCTTCGAGTACTGAACCATTTTTCGACACACTTGAAAAGGAAGCTTCAGTGCTTTGAAAAGCTTCGTTTTGCCATCACTAGCTTTCAGAATAACCTGCCTTTCGCAGTGCAGCTACCTACTGCCTCTGCCATGATTGTTGTAACGCCCCCAACTCCACAACCTTGGGCATAAAGAAAATCCCGCTGGAAAATACGACGTAAATATCACGTAGTGGCTGCATTAGCACCGTTTGGTCACTAGGTGCCACTGTGACGTGATATTTGTAATCCTTTTCTCTCACTAGTTTCCAGGGACAGTCAGACCAGAAAACTGGTGTATGCTCTGCCCGTGTCTGTAATTCAGCTGTACAGTATTAATACTGTAGTGAGGTGGATGTTACTGGCTCCTTCAGGCGGGAGGATAATTTTGGACAGAGTGGCCAGACCTATGAATAGTTTGGGACTGTGCAGGAACCCCTGGTTTGGAGAGCTAAGAAGCACCTTCAGCCTCTTCCCGAGATAGGGGGGTTACAGCAGTTTGTGGGGGGGGGGGGGCTAGATAAAATTTTATCTAGCTCTGATTTAAAGGAACCCAAGGTTTTAGCTTGCACTGCATTCACAAGAAGACTATTCCATACTTTAACTGCATGCTGTGTAAAGAAATGCTTTCTCAAATTTATTTTAAGATATTCTTACGCTGATTTCCACCTATGGCCATGAGTTCTAATATTTAAACTAATATTGAAGTAGCCATTTGGCTGAATAGCATCCAGACCTGTTAGAATCTTGTACACCTGGATCATGTCCCCCCTTAGTCTCCTTTGCTCGAGGCTGAACAGATTCAGCTCAGCTAACCTCTCCTCATAAGACATTCCTCTAAGACCAAGAATCATTCTCATAGCCCTACATTGAACCCTTTCCAAGGCAGCAATGTCCTTTTTAAGGTATGGAGACCAAACCTGCACACAATATTCTAGGTGGGGTCTTACCAAGGAATTATATAATCGTAGCATCACCTCCCTTGACTTAAACTCCACACTCCTAGAGATGTAACCCAACATCCTATTGGCCTTTTTAATTGCTTCCCCACATTGGCGAGAGTGGGGCATGAAAGCATCAACATACACACCAAGGTCTTTCTCATAATCAGCTACCTTGATTTCAGTGGAACCCATAAAATATCTGTAATTTATATTTCTGTTCCCTGCATGGATTACCTTACATTTATCTACGTTAAATTTTATCTGCCAGGTATCACCCCGAAACTTCGGTGTGAAAGCACCTAAGTTGAGCCCCTGAGCAGGGTCCTTTAATTGCTCCAGGGACGGTCTGACTCTGCTATGAATTGTATATCATTTTGGATAAAACTGTCTGTTAGAAACAGAAGAATTTCATGTGGACAGGGGTGGATATGATCCCCTCTCAAAAACATGTTTGCAGTGCATCATGCTGACTTTATGTACAGTAAAATCCCGTTATAGTGAACTCGCTTATAACGGAATATCGTCTATAGGAGACGAGATCCGCTGGTCCCGGCTGTGCGCCTTTTCGAACATGCATAAAAAGCATTGGATACAGCAGACTCACATATAATAGAATTTCACTTATAACGGACAAACAATTTGGTCCCCAAGGCCGCTTTTAGCTGTAGTTTTGTTCGGCTATAACGGACATACAGGCTCCGCCTACAAGGCGTGTGGCGTGCCGGTGATATCCAGCGCAGATACGTAGTCGGGATTATTAATAGTCACACATCTGCTCAGGTAAAGTTGGATTACTACATGTACAATATAACAATCTATACCACAAGTGTGTCTGCTGGGGTGTGGCAGGAGTAAATGGTGTCCTGTAGTTCTGTTCTGGCCGTACAGCAACCCTAGATATAACAAACTTTAGATATAACGGACTGCTTTGCCAAGTACCTTGAAGTCCGTTATAACGGGATTTTACTGCATGGAATTCAGTTAAACAGAGTGAACTGACAGCCTGCAGTAATTCTAGATGTGTTTCATGTACTACCGTAGAGGGACATTAGAGGGCGATCTTTGACATGGTACAAGGTGTGGTACACAGCAGCTAAAATAAGCTTCAGGTTGCTAATGCTGGGTTGCAGTGGACTGGGATTTTTCTTCTTGGAGTGGGATTGGGAAGAATGGCAGGGAGTGGCAGTCTAACAACTGATCGGGAATTGTCTAAATTACTTTATTCCACCTGTTTGTGCAGTATGAGGTGTCAGAGACCTTGTTGCCCTGTAAGTATATTAGTCGGTCATAGTCAGAGCAGAACAAGCCCCGTCCTGGGCTGTCAGTCAGATTTTTTGTGTGGAATGAAAGAGTACATTCACATGCTTTTCCTCATTCCCAATCTCACTCCGAAGGCAGAAGATGAATGAAGGGTTCTTAAGTTCTACGTCAGCCTGTGCGATTTTGCAAGCCGCGGTATTTACATATTTCATGTCATTCATATTTTCCCGGAGGTGCTGTTTGATTATGGTGAAGAGCATCAGAGAAGTGAATAGGCCAGCAAGAGACTCACTGGCCAGACTGCGCAGCTCTGCGTGAGTGGATTTTGTGTGGGACACTGGTTTCCTCATTCATCCTGAAAATGTGGTTTAGAGGGTCTGATTTCTCTGAATAGTACATACCCGGTCTAGGGTGATACCTGCGTCGTTTCCCTGTTCATCCTGGGATAGACTCCAGGCTCAATATCAACTTACTGGGTGCCTAAAATAAAAGGGTCAAACATGTTTTTCATAAAATACTTTTTATTTGACACATCAAAAGACTTTTAAATACTTCCATACTTGTTTAAGAATAATAATTACCGACCATTGGTGTCTTTTAAATCTAATGGAAAAGAGGAAGATGTTCTTCTGATAATGTAACAAAAGGGGCCAGATTTACAGTGTCAGGTGCTGGTTTAAATGACACAAAAGTCACAAAGGACAGACACCATACAGTTTGGTCAGGAATGACCCATGACTGAGCTGAAGATTCCTGCAGGACCTCCATGTGGCTGATGACCCACCGTCCTCATGGATCCACTTTGATCTTCGGTAAAAGCAAAACACAAAATTATACAGGAACAGGAACAGGAAGACAAGCCAGACATGCGTGTCCCCCTGAGGTCAGTTACGCGTCCCACACCATCAGTGTTGGGTCAGATTTCATCAGATTGGAAAATCATTTTTAATCTTATCTCTGATGCTGAAAATGGCCTAAAATTGTGATTTTTGGTTGAGATGTAAATTTGCAATTATGTTTCCCAGCAAAGGGGTGGAAGATGATTCTTCACTCACCTTTTCAACCGTTGGCAGCACGGTAAGGTCATTCTTCTATTGAAAAGCATCACATTGTCCCCATGGTCAGAAAGCCCAGGAAGATGTAAGCGTGTGAGGTGAATGGAGAAGTTTCCATAAAGCTGACAGCTGGACAATCACTGTATGTCACTGATTGGAGAGACCCCCCCCCCCCCCCAACATTAATCAGTTACTGGTGGGCATTGGAACCATGTCCCCCAAATGGTTTCCCTGGTTTTGCTCATTTACTTCCTTCTCTGACACGGCATTGAGTGACACACAGGTCTCTTTCACAGAAACCAGAGTCAGGACCCGCCCGCCACCAGAGGGCGGGAACCTCGTATTTAAAATGAGAACCGCGCCTCTGCTTGGACTCCGTGGGTTACAGACACCAGTCCCAGTTTCCACTAACTCAGACTGCAGAGAACGGTGATCATGAAATTGGTCAGCTTCTTCATCCTGGGACTCTGTGGGAATCTGAGCGAGTCCGACCTGATGGAGAGGATCCAGCTCTGTGAACCGCACTGCGGCCAGGTACCGTTCCCCACACCGCACCTCTCTGCTACATCATCATTCCTGTCATGCTCTCTCGTCACGGACGTCTCTTCTCAGATAAAAGCTTAATCATTACTCTTTGTTATGAATGTGTTATTATTGTTATTAATATTTAATTTTGAACATGTTTATTTCAGAGCACTGTAGTTCACTAGAAACTGAAATTTCTGTCAGAAAACAAGAAGCGATGAACCTCACCTGTAAAGATGGCGATGTAGCATGTGTGTTTATGATTGACGCCCAGTAGATGCTGGTGTAGAGACGATCTGATCTTATCGCCATCATACAAAGCAAAGATCAGAAAAATGACAGATGCATTGTGGTCTGTGGGTGAGAGGAAGAACGTCTCATAAGAAGTGACATAAGCCCAGCTCTCACTCTGCAACCTCCACTGTCTTCATGCATCTTTCTCATTGGATGATTTGTTTTTCCCACTTGCTGCATGTCTGCACAAATGCCAGCTTCCAGAATAATTAATGCTAAGTTCACACTGCAATACACGGTTTTAGCCCTGATTTGACAGTGTTTGGAAATTGCTGGCAAAATCCCCAGATCGGAGGCAAATCGGTTTGTTATCGGTGTTGATACATCGGCACTCGATCAATATG